TATATATATATATATATATGTATATATATATATATATATATATATATATATATATATATATATATATATATATATATATATATATATGTATTATTTATATATATGTATATATATATATATATATTATTTTTATTTTTATTAGCCATTTTACAGATCATAAAAATAGTGATATAATATAATTAGAATAACCAAAAAAATAAAAAATAAGAACCATACATTAGGTTGGCTATGTGAAAAATATACTAGTAATTAAAATGAATAAAATAGCCACAAAATTGAATATTTTTTTAAAGATATTAAAATATAATAACATTTACTGCTAAAAATGCATAAATATATTATCCAATGAAAGAATAAACTATTTTAGTTTATTTAAAAAAATGGGTAATGACATTGACAAATCAAAATTAGGCAAAACAATTTTATTCCTAAGATAAGGTGCTCAGTGAGTTATACAAAACTGACTAAATTTCGTTCGACAAAAGGGTTCATTTAAAGAATTTCGAAGAGTAGGACCGAAGAGTAAGACCTATATTTATTTTTTGTTTTTGTAAAAAATTCGATGGAAATGAGAAACTATGGATTCTTCTGACATTGTAACATAAAACATAAAATTTTTTAAATTTTTAGTTCGTATACATTAAGAACTTTCATACCCTTGAATAATAATTTTGAATGCATAAAACGATTTTGAAAATGTATTAAGCGAATTGCGTGTTTCTGGCCTTTAAAGAGTAGTCGTAACTTACTTTTGCTTGTACTTCCCTCAAGCAGTAATTCCATAGTTAATATAACTATGTATAAGGGAGTAGTATATTTGAATTAGATTGTTTTTGTTTAAATAATTTCTAGTTTTAAATAAAATTCCAATACTTTTAACAATTTTAGAGCTAATGTAATCGATATGTGGTTTCCACGTAACATTTTCATCTAGATAAATTCTTAAAAACTTTGTGGACGTCTCATTTTTCTCATTTCATTCTTGTCATCTTTGTCATGCCATCTCGTTTCATCCTTGTCATCCTTGTCATGTCATCTCATTTCATCTCATTTCAACCTTGTCTATAAATAATTGAGGTAATTTTTTTGGCAAATAGAACCTTTTTGATACAGAGTGAAAAAGAATATACTTTGTTTTTTTCAATGTTTATTGTTAATTTGTTACGTTTAAACCAGTTTGATATGTGAATAAGTTTTTAATTTAACTCAGAAAGTAGTTCATTAATGTTAGCATTTGATAAGAATAAATTCGTATCATCTGCAAACATAATACTTTTTAGTATTTTAATCAGAACGCCCCTTTGTTCTGAAGTAATTTTTTCTACTTATCTTTGCTTATCTTTTTTACAGGCAATTACTTTTATATTTCCTACTTTTTGTACAGTACAACAACCTATCTCATCGGCATTATAGATGTCATTAGGATTAAAGTTGTATTTTCAAAAGAATTTCTTTGAGATATTTTAAAAAATTTACAACATTTGTTTTATTAAAACTTGTTGCACGTGACAAACTGGTGGCTTCTGGTCTATGCTAAGAAAGATTTTTAAATATACTCATACAACCATATAACCAATCTTCTCTAGCAGTCAGGTTTATTGCCTATGATTGTGGAACAATTTTCATGTTGTGGTTAGCAAAATCATAAGCTAATAATTTTAACTGAGTGCGAGTAAGTCCATAAAGTATCCTGGAGACTTTCACTACGTAATCTTTTAACAGTATTTCTTCTGCATAAGTGAAAATCTGATGTGTACTTTACTTCATCAAGACCATATTGTTTAGCTTTTTCAACATGCGGTTGTAAACTTGAAAATGCAATTTTACTATGTTTGCTTACAACAGCAATGCTTTACCGTTTTTTTATTACCATACGTACTGCATTTTAGAACTTGTGTTACCAATTTTTTTTGTCAATATATTATCGATTTCAGACCATATTGACTAAAGCAAGTAAAACATAAAGAATCATTATTGACTGTAATGAAATTATGTGGGTAATACTTTGTTAAACTAATATTTTTAGAGTAATAATACACTTAAAATATTATAAAGCCATAATAAATACTTTAAAATTTCTGTTACTTCATAAAATTACTCCAAATATAGTTTTATCTATTATAGTTATATACTCTAAATTTGTTAAAAAATTAATAAAAAAGATAATAACACAACATCTCATAACTTGAAACGTCATGAGGTCATCAAACTTGATTCATAATTTCATTTTCATATAATTTGTTGGTTAATAATGCATGAACTTATTCCTTAATATTATTAATGGGGCACAGTTAATCAATCAATTCCCTGCACTCTGATTCACTGTACCCCACCATAACAAATAGAGTTCAAGTCTGTTATTAAATGTTATTAAAGGAAAAGCAAAACTATTAAAAGAAAGTGTAAATATCAACAATTTGAATAAAAACTCAACCAATATCTCCACAATAAACATTAAGAAGGTGAGAAAATTTTTATTAGTTTGCTAGAAAAAAAAAATACCAACCAAAATCCGGTAGTCATAAATTTAGTTGTAACAACAATAAATAAAAATGGCTGATATATGAGCATATAAAATGATTACACTATCATAATAAACGAAATCCTAATTTTTCAGAAAAAGTCTTTTATTCACTGTGCCCTCTATCCATTGTACCCCAACTTTCCCTACCATGTTTTGCCAACAATTTTTAAAACACTGTTCGAAAAACTTAAAGGATGGCCATTAATTCCCTTAGTTGAATTTTTTTTTTTAAATATCGATTAGAAATAACATTCAACGCAACCACAATTTTCAGCTAAAATTCAAGAAAACCACAATTTGCAATAGAATGCTGGAATCCAAATGAGCAAAGAGACATTTTCAAACAAACTCTTGAAAAAAGAACTTTTAAGTGAGAATCCTTGGAAAGAACTTTCTTTTAATTGTTTTTATTTTTACCTTGTAACTATTATTAGATTGGATGTTTTATGATGTTTTTTTTTTGATGTTTTCTGATTGGATAAACAAAATTTAAATAATAGTAATAATAAGTCATATAACTTATATTACTTTATATAACTTTATATATAACTTTATATAACTTTATATATAACTTTATATAACTATTATAAGTCTTATATATAACTTATACTTATATATAACTTATATATATAACTTATATAAGTATAAGTTATATATAACTTATACTTATATATAACTTATATAACTTTATATATAACTTTATATAACTATAATAAGTCATATAAGTCAGTCCAATTGATTAAAATGTTTTGCTTAAAATAATCTTTTTATTCTAAAGTTTTCTAATAATTCAATAAACTCCCAATAAACGACATAAAAGACAATTTTTGCTTGCTTTTTGAGAGTTTTTTGAGAACGTTTTTCATTATTTTGTGCGCAAAAAATTTATTTTGGGGAATTGGGGGCATAACTTCATATGGAGACACAACTGTTTTTTAACATTTCCATTCAAAAAATGTTATCTAATATGGCAAAATGCATAGCACGCGTTAGTAAAACAGCTTCCTTCATTTCGCTTAACTCAAAATAAGTGCCTGTTACGTTTCTGAAATATTGTACATAATAATGTTTATTTTAATAAAAATATTATATTTACATCATATTTCTCCAGACTTTTTTTTTGAGGATTATTTGATTTTAGTGTTAAAGATATGTGGTATCCACTTTATTTCATTAAGTAAAAACCATTTTTGATCAACATAACCAATTAATCAAACTATTTAACTGTATATTAACTAAAAACAGACCTCTGGGGCAAAACCGCATAGACGCACATGAGGCACAACCGCATATTTTTATATTTATCAAAGTTAGGTAATTACGAATAACATTAGTTACAATCATCACACTTGAATGCGTTCATGTGAGGAATAGTTTTGTTTTGAGATATTGGAAATTAGATTTCGTATTTTTTTAATTTAATTTTTATAAATGAGTTTTTTATTAAAATATAAAACTAAGAGTATATTGAATGAGAAAACTCAGACTGTAAATACAAAGAAGGCCTACACAGTATGCAAACGTGCAATAAAATCAGCACGTTATCTGAGCTGCGACTATTGTAAAGAAAATGTATCAAGAAAAGTTTACCCCCAACGATTTATGTGAGAATGCGGTTGCACCTCACAATGGGAGCAAAACTATTTTTTTACAAAGTGTAATTCTTGTGTAATAACATTTTTGAAAATCAATTAACTTTTTTCTTAATTACATCGATTTAAAGCTTAATAATGTGGTTATTGAAATAAACCATTCAAAAAATACATTTCGTTTTTATTTTCATATAACATTAATCCAAACATTGAGGGGGCGGTTATGCCCCCTCTTCCCCAAAGTTCATCTTAACCTGATCTGCAGGAATTTTATTTAACTTTCTATAGCGACTACGAATAATCTTTTTGTTAATGTTTTTATATTTAGTTTTTTTAAATATTGGCAGGAGTTTATTGGTAAACGTCCTTATAGAAGGCGTTTACACTGGTAAACTCGTTTGCTGTATAACCAGAAAAAATAAATGTTGCGGAATATTTATTTGTTCTGGTTTGGCAGAAAAGTTCCTTGAATGTTTCTAGAACTTTTGTTCAAGTTGTGTTTACATGAGAGTTTATTTGTTGGTATTCCACGAAATGCTTCATCAAATAGCCTCTAGTGTGAATAGCGTATTAAAACATGTATCGTCTTCACATGTAATTCTGCAATTTTGAGTGCTTTAAGCAGTTGCTTAAAACATTATATAAAGAGACTAAATTTATGATTAAAATTTGCTATGAATATTCAAAAAATGTATATATATATATATATATATATATATATATATATATATATATATATATATATATATATATATATATATATATATATATATATATATATATATATATATATATATATATATATTCAATGTATTACTACGCGGTAAAAAATACAAAAATCAAAAGTTTTAAAACTATGCAGCCACATAAAAAATACTTTTGCGTATTTATTGGAACTGCAATAATTTTTTTTTTTTAATTATTATATCTCTGATGCGTTTCTTGGCGCGATCTTCATGTTCTTTTTGGTGCTATCTTCACGTTCGTTTGATCTTCAACTTCTAAAAACAATAAAGTCATAATTAATAAGTCGCCGCTTCAAAAGCATTTACCTGATTTGATATTTTATTTAAATACTTAAATATTTTCATGCTTTACTTTAAAAAAAAAAGAAACAGAGCAGATGAGAAAAATGTTTGATTTGCATGAAACCAGAAGCGATTTACAGGGAAAAAAGATGTATGAGGTGTGTAAGACCCCCTTCCCCCAAAAAAAGATATTGTCGGTTTTTTGAGGAATGTAGTCGGCTAGTCGAGTATTTGACATATTTCAGTTGGGTGAATTTTAGTTTTAAAGACCTTTTTTTTTTAAGGAGCCAGTTTGTGCATTGAAAGGTAACTTTGAATTTTTGAAAGAATCCCCTCCCCTTCTTTCCTCATTTTATTCGTTGAATCATCTCTGCATTAAACGCTAAAAATCACTTGAAACTTAAAGTTTTCTTCCAAAACTATTTTGCAGCTATTTACTGCTTAAATCAACAGAAATTTTGCAAAATGACATCAAATATTACTTTCAAGTTTTAAACCAACTTTAAGTTAAAATAAACTATTGCAATCGGTTGCAATAGACTTAAGAATTATAGCTATTAAAATTACTTTGAAAATGGTGAATGACTTCTATGGAAATAGTAATTAGAAAAATATTTACCATTTGTACCTGGTAAAAAAAAAATATATATAACATTTTATTATTCTACTCCAATAAAGATAAAGAATTACTCAAAAACAAAAAGAAAAGAAAAAAGCGAAGTGTATAGTAGCAGTAAAATGATCAGGTGGATTTAAGATCAGATGGATTTAGAAATCGTTCTTAAACAAATGGATACAAGAAAGATAAGGAAATGTCTTTTGAACATATAAACGCAAGGAAAATCAAACAACATTTGTTAAAAGATATTGGAAAGGTTTAATAAACAATATTTATTAAAAGATATTGGAAAGGTTTGATAAATAACATTTATTAAAAGATATTGGAAAGGTTTGATAAACTACATTTATTAAAAGATATTGGAAAAGTTTGATAAACAACATTTATTAAAAGATATTGGAAAGGTTTGATAAACAACATTTATTAAAAGATATTGGAAAGGTTTGATAAACAACATTTATTAAAAGATATAAACAACAAATAAGATAAACAACATTTATTAAAAGATATTGGAAAGGTTTAATAAACAACATTTATTAAAAGATATTGGAAAGGTTTGATAAATGCCAAATAAACAAATAAATATGAGAAGGATTGTCTTTTAAATAGAGGAATAATTTTAAATAAAGAATGAAGTGGAGGAAGAATACATAATTAAATGAAATATTTAAAAGACAAAAAAAATTAAAAAAAAAAACTAATTGAAAAAAACTAGTTGCAAGAAAACTCAAAATACAACAATATCACACAATAAAAAAAATTCTATAAAAATTAAGCCTACTTGTGAATTCTAAACACGATCTTGTTCCGTGAAATAATAACTGACAAACATGTGAAGATGTAGCTGGCTGTACACACCGATCACGTTTACGCAATACTTCAATTGCAAAATTCACACATTTTTCATTTAACTTGGGAATATTTTGAAACTTACATTTTAAATTTTTGCCTTGACGTGAACTGATTTTACTAGTTTTCTTGTCTAAAATATCAGTATCAGCTGATGAGTTAATTTGTATTCCAAGAAACTTACAATAAGCGTCCTGCTCCTCATCTGTTACAAAAAATAGTCCACCTCCAATCATAGAAAGTTGGGAAATCAAATTGTTATCTAAAAAAACCTCTCTAGAGCTTGGAAGAACAAGAGAATTTTGATTAATAAAGATATTTTGACCGCGATGCAAACGAGGCGCAAACATAAATAAATTTACAAGACAGTTTTGTGTTGAACGAAAAGTTGTCAACTCGTTAACTTCAAAGGAACTTATCAGAATACAGCGAGTAAAATCTGAACTTTTCTTAGGAGGAACAACAATTAACCAAGAAATCTCAAAAAGAAAATCATCTCCTTCGTTGTTATCTTCGATAACCATAGTAAATTCTTTACTAACCATTAAACCAGGATTCCAACAACCTTTTGGAAACAACATTGAAAGTCGATTTGTATTCTTGAATATTTTATCAATGTTTAATATTTCACGATTATCATGATATAAAAAACCTTTTTCAACCATATCTTTAACTTCTTGTGACAATTTTGGAATATGGGGAGACTGAACTCCAGGTCGTTCAACTTGACGTTCTTCCTCAAGCTCTACTTCAAGTTCTCTTTCTTGCTCCTCGTCAGAGTTGTTAGCAAAGCATTTATACCCAGATATATATTTATTGCAGCGAGAAGAAATTTCTGTTCCAATTGACAATATTATTTCAGCAAAAGATTTAGTTACGTCATTATTATTAAACACTTCTACGCGCTTTTCTAAATTCTTCATAAAAATATTTGAAACAGATTCTAATAAGCGTGATTCGCCATAAAATTCACGTAAAGAAATTATTTCATCTTCTGTACACCAAGTGCCTAGTGCTTTAAAGTCCTCAAAGTTTATCATACCTTTACTTTTAGTGTTATACATAAATGATTCTGCTGCTTCTTTAATAGAACGACGGAGTCCTTGTAAAGACCACTGTATAAGCCCATTTCGAATAGTGTTACAACTGTTATTAATAGTCCATCGAAGGACATCAGCAGTTTCTGGTGCATTGGTACTAGAATTCATTTGCTTTTTAATAGATAAATGAACATCATTTGCGGCAAAGAAAAACACGCGATGGCCATTGCCCAATAATCGCATTCGCATGCAAGCTTGAATAAGGCGATCTTTTGTAAGTCCTTTACCTAGTGTAACACATGCAAGAGTATTGAATGGAAATCTCAAGTCTGTTCCTCGTGTATGAATGTCATCAATATAGAAAACACAACAATCAAGTCGATGCGAATAGGGAGAAATAGAAAATGGACAAACACAATCTTTTCTATCAATCACCATCAACCTATCGTCTTTATCAAAATAAACCGCTGCTGAAACTGAAAAATTAGTAGAATACTTTTTAAGCAATTTCAAAGAAACATTTTTATTGTCCATTTGTAACATCAGAGCACCAACATCAATCAACACACGTGCACCAGTTTCTACCATTTTATTTAAAATGCAATCATCTAAAGTTTTTTTTCTAGAGCTATAATGATAGTAAGTGTTGTTTTCAGATTGAAGTAAGTAGCTTAGCACCATTGCGTTAGTACCTTGTGTTTGTGGTAAATCATTGCTTTTAATAGTCAGTGGTAAAAGTAACTCAGACTCGTTTGTACCACTGAATCCAGTAGTGCATTTTTCAGTTCCATTTCCAAAAGTATTTTTTGATAAACAAAGATCCCAGGCTGACGTTGATATTCTGTAAGGAAATTGTTTGGCTTCTCGCGGATAAACAAATCTATTCAACCAAAAGTTTACAACATTCATGCTGTTGCGAAGTAATGAATATAATTTTTCTTTTTGTTCAACGTTGTCAAGGTTTGCTCCATTTAAAACATGTAGATCTTTTGGTACATTACCAATTCCAATTGCTTCAATCCATCTTTCATACTCAACATCTTTGTACGTACATTTTTCTAAGTATTTAAATACTTCATCTAACTGATCGTCATCAAGACCACTCATATAATAACTAATCTGTGTTAAAACTATAGCCATATCAGGGTGCCCAAACTCAGTTCGTTCTGCAGCAACGTCTTTAGCTCGAAACGGCACAGCCATTTTTGAAACGGGGTTCATAAGATTAACACCAAAGTTAACTCTCCAGCGTTTTTGAAGTGCCATATGCAAAACCTCAAAACACAGTATTCCTCTTAAAATCAATAACTCTTCCTTTAAAATTGAATTCATAACAAAAAGTTCAGATAAACGTTTGTTTACATCTGGAAAGCTTACGTCATTAGAAGTAATAAATATTCGAGCAACAACTTTATCTTTTTGCTCTAATTTTGCTGCTACTGAGACCTCTGGAATTTCGTTATTAAGAATTGAATCAGCAATTAAACTACACAAGTGTTTATACATCGTTGCATTAGTACTAAGAAATCTAATATGAGAAAATGAGTCAGCACAACATGTTTTGCGGTCATAGTATTCAATACAATCGTTTCCAAATGTCTCCAGTAAATCTTTTGCAAATTTGTTAACCAACCTCAAAATTGCTTGAGGAACTATCCACCTAAGTTCACCTCCATCAACAAGTAGCTGTTCGCCAAGTGTATATACAACTTGGTATTTAACGTTTAATATTTCATCAGTTTCGTCCAACACATCTCGAGCGTACTTCCGAAGCCAACAACGCAACTCATAAAGTTGTTCGGCATCATCTGAGTTTTTACGACAATGCTCCAATGTTTTTAAGTCAAGAGACAATCGGTATTCAGGAGTTGTAAGTATTAACCCACGTTGTTTAAGACATTCTTGGTGAATAGATAAAAATTTTAAAGGATTTATTATTATATCTCTGCGACAGGGAACAACATAAACCCGCTTATTTAATAGCCCGCCAAGTTTGTCTACAAGTGCTTCGTAATTTGTGTTTAAAAGTGAACGTAAAATAGTTATTCGAACAAGCTGCTCAGATGTAGCTAAAGAAACTGCAAGTAAAGGAACAATTACACTGGTTTTTCCTTCTCCCATATTTAGCTGTTGAACAAAATTTTCATTTGCGTTCAGCATACTTCGAGCGATATCAATCTGAATAGGACGAATTAGAAAATTTCCTTCTAGTTCAAGAAGAAGCCATTCAGGATTCGACGAGGGAATCCAATTTTCATGACCTAAGTTTCTCAGTTCACGAGAAAGAACAAAGGATGATGATTTATTTTGAAGTAGCTTTAGACAACGAATAGCTTTCTGTTCGGCTGTCCAACAAACAACTAACGCTCCAATACGGTCAATAATGCTTTGTGGAAGTAAATCTTTATTATCAAGATAAAGTAACGAGAGGGACAATGATGTTAATGGTAGTATACAAGGTATTAAGACAACAGGAGTAATTCTTCTCCATAATCCACCATATAAAAGAGTATGACCAACTAAATCATTTGCTTGCGGTTTCATTGCATCTGACACTTCATTCCACAAATCCCTTGCTTTTTTATTATTTTTCATTAAACACATTTGACATTCATCGAAAACATTTTCAGTATTTTGAATTTCTTTTAAAGATAATGATTCATTTTTACTGTAATAGTTGCAACTCGTTTCTATACCTTTTTTCATAAATTCAAAAAGAGCATCATTTTTATTATGTGAGATATCAAAAAGTGAATGTGAAAGTACTTTTTCAGATTGAATTTGTCTTTGGGCAGTATTACCAAGAGGTTTATTATGATTTACAATAGCTTTTTTTCTGAACAACTTTACGGCTTCATGATTTATTGGAAGAACTTTCACTGGCATTTTAAGTTCAAATGAATTCGGAAAGAACGTAATATTTTGGGGATTCAAAAACGATGGAATTAGAGTATCATTAGTTTTTATAATAGCATTTTTAGTATATATTTGATTTTCAACTTGGTCAAAAAAAACTTGAGTTTACCATTATTATCCCATCTTGTAAATAGTTTTATAATATCTTGTTTAAGAATAGAAATATTAACGATGTCATCTAATGACAGAAAATCAAAATTAACATTCTTATACTGCCATTGTGATTTTATAAGATTTTCAAGAGTTGCTAAAGCATTTTTTTTTGAACTTTCATAGAGTTTTCTCATTTTTTCTCTTTTTAAATAGTCTACACAATACTTTCTATTTATATTTAGGTATTGATCAAATGAATATGTTTTATTATCAATTGCTAACTTTATTGCATTCAAATCAAAATCTGTTTCGTTAAGATACTGGAAATCTCTTTCAACAGGTGGTTCTATATCAACCCCAAGTATAGCTACAGCTAAAAGGCTATATACGAGATCTTTATTTTCTCCGTTAAACACCAAAAAAGATAATAACAAAGAAAATTCAAAGCGACAAAAATGTTCTTTGTGGACCTCTTGAGCCAGTTTATATAAAAACAAATAACTATTGATAACATTTAAATTTCTTGATAAAGACAAAGAAAAATTTGTAGAAACTTGTTGATCTTCAATAGCTTTTTTTTGTTCGACAAAGCCCCACAAATTAGAAGGGGAAAAGTAAACGCCATTCCATCGATAAAAATTTTCCATTAGCAACCTTGATTCTTTGTATTTGAACATTGTTTCATCACATTCATTGATGAACGTCCAAGCTAATTGTTTTTTAGGAAGCATTCCAATGGTTTCCTCGTTTTCGATATTTAAACGAGCAGAGGAGTTTAACAGACACCTATAACGCCAATATGCCCGTTTTGTAAGTTTGTTTTTATTTTGTTTCTTTTGATTTTCAGTTTTAGCAATAAATAATTCTTTGGACAAATCTGCACGTTTTTCTAATATCTCTGAAGCTAAAGCTAAGCCATCATACGCGTACGATGATTGAAGATTTTCTAACCATTTAACAGAGTGCACAAAACTTTTAGAACTAAATTTACGTTTAGGAGCCAAGTTGACAATAGATTTTAAAATATGGAGTTCACTTTGTTCTAATGGTTTGCAAGAGAAAGTACGTCCGAGCTGTAACAAACGCATAGACGATTCTGTTCCTGTTAACTTTGTTAAAGGATCTGGAAAAGAACTTGATGTCATAGCATGAAGTAAAGAAAGATATAACCAAGATACATGATTAGCAGGACCTCGTAGCTCACAAAGTCTATCATCAATGTTGTACGCAAAGTATGGAGGGGAAAATAGTTCTGTAAGTTCAATATTTACTTTTTGATGATTAGAAATTTTAGATTTTGTAAATATGATATTTTTTGCATATGGTAAAATCAAAACTTTATACTGACCAAGATAACCTTTTTTAACTACTGATTTATCTTCGCATAGTAAAAGACCGTTTTCCAAACCTATAAGTGTCCCAAAACCACCTTGAATATTAGAAACAACCATTCCGGTGTACTCAATAGAAAATAATTTTCCGGTTTTATCTTCAACTCCAAAGGAAAGGTACATTCGAGGAAGTTCAATGTTAAGTTTAAATTTATTGTGTTCTATTGTTTCTTCACAGTTTAACCATAAATGAACATATTCTTTTAGCTCAAGGCGCTTAACACCACTGCAATTATAAATATCCTTAAAAGTTTTACTTTGAATGTTGACTAAATACCGTTTTCTCCGTGAATCGTATAAAGTCCCATTCTGTAAATAAAAGTGGTACGAGAAATTATCATTATATTCTCCTTTCAAAAAATTAATATCATCAAACTTAACTGGTCGAAAAAAGATAGTTCTTGTTTGTTTACATAACCAATGGCTATAGTTATTTACAAAAAAGTATGGAAAGTGCTCCTTAAAAAAAGTAAACGGTATAAGTTCATACTCATCTCCCGAGCTACGCCGCTCTATAACAATAAGTCCAAAATTTTCGTAAGAAAATGTGTAAAAAGAACTTCGCAGCTTGTGTGCAGTTACAAACGCATTTGATTTTTCTGCCGCTGGACGAACCTCAAAAATGTGGTCACCAAAAACTCGTTTGTAATCTGGTGATATAGTAATTATTTCAGGAAGTCTTCCTATTGGATTTCCTTCAACTAAAAACTTCCCACTTAAAATATTTATTTGCAATGTTACCGAACGATTTTCAGAAATATTCAACTTATTATAATACCATGCTTGAGCAGGTGGATCGTATGGCATCCAATCATCTTTGCAAATTCCTTTTGAAAAATCTGGCCATTTAAAACTAAGAAACTCACTGAATATTTTTCTCCCGTGTAAAGCTAATATTTTAACTGCAATAGTTACCATACGAAAGCCTGCCAGTCTTATTCGTCGAAGTAAATTTCTCCTCTCAATATCCGTAGAATCACTGCTAAGAAGAATATTGTCATGTATTCGAGCTACTGCGTAAAGCCATGAAATCAAGGTTTCTTTGTTTATTACAGAATCGTGGTAATCATCAACATCAAACGTAAGAGCCGCAAAAGCAGCAACGTCAATTAATTTTAAACGTACTTCGTGTATTTCACTTATACTTGATACCATCATACCAGAAAGTAAAGTTTCAATTTGAGTAGCCCATGATTGAGCAATACAGCGGCATCGCATTAGTAGTATAGTAGCTTTTATACGAATTTTTTCACTTGATAGTGAAAATATTCTTAGCGCAAGTATGATAATTACTTGAAGTTGACTGTGCTTTTTCCAGTTTTTACTGATATTTTCTAAATATTTTGATAAGCAGTCAATTAGTTCTGAACAGAAACCATCATTTCGAAGATCAGCATGACTTTCAAAAAATAAAACAGGATCGTTAACACTTTCTTTAATTGCAGGTCCTGCCTGCCATAAAGCTTGCGCAATCAATGCGAATACAGATGAACATTCAAAACTTAATGAACGCATTTCCAAAGCTCTAAGTATTTTTCGAAGCTGCAAGCGATGACCAGCACGTAGTGAACCAAATACTTTGAATTCATCAAGTCTTATATTTAATGGGCAATTAACTTGACACGATAAAACCTCGTTTTCTGTATGAGTTGTTCCTGTAATCCAAATTGTATTTACTTCATAAGGGTTGTTCCATGCTTTCATTGTGAAAAACTTTTGCTTAAGTTGCTTACATTCATTTTGGTATTCAATTTTTTTTTTCCAATGCTGCAAAAAAAGATTAATAGTAGGACCACACGGACGAAGAAAATTTCGTACGTAATTAAATGCTAACGAAGAAACTGCGTAAGGATATATAACATTTGTAGAACTTCCAATAGAAACTATTGATTTTTGATATTCAGAGCTCACCCATTTTTTCAATTGTGGATGTGATTTCCATAAACATTTGATGTTTATTTCTTTGAATTGGTTTTTACTGAGTTTCTTGTGAACAATAAACAAAGTATCGCGAAGGCATCGAATTCTCAATGGAATAGATAGTTCAAATACAATTGCATTTTGCTTTAAAATGCAATTTTCTGGAATAGGATCTTCATAAACAAATAAACTAATATCATTAATTTTTTTATTTATATTGCATTTTGAGCATTGCGATATGCATCTACCTCTCTCATTTATATCGTGTGTTGCTCTATAGTATTCTTGCGTTAAACGATCATAACGGCTTTTTTTGACTTCAAACTCTTTTTTTTTTCCTCTCGTTGTTGGTGAGCATACAAAAGAATTTCTTTTCTTTTTAATTGCATTTCTTGGTTTTCATTTGCTATTCTAAAACCAATAGAGTTTACATTATATTCTGACAATATGCATGGATATTTTGATTGCATATTTCTGGTGATGAAATAAATTCGAACAGCTTGCAAATATTTCATATCTTCGTAAAGTGGTATTAACAAACTATCAAAATAATTTTCATCAAAGCTGCTATGGTACTCAGACAATAATGGCCACTTCATTATTGCAGTTGAATCAAGTACAGCAATAATTAGAAATATTGTTAGTATCATTCGACTTGATCCAACCGGATCATTTTGATAAAATTTTAAACTAATCTCAAAATATTTGCACATTAAATCAAAAATTTGATCGCTGTATTCAAAAAATTGAGCCATATTAACTATACAATTTTTCCTCAAAATATTTTTTACCCAAATTTCAAAGTCCCAAAGGATTTCTTCACATTGATCGTTTTGTGCAACTGATATTAACAAATTTATATCAAACAGTGTTGTGACATCATTCCATCGGTTTATACATTTTGGAATGCTTACATGTAAACTGAAATCTTTTTCTTCTTGAAATGCTTGTTTTATACGGAGAATAGCTTTTTCGTTTAATTTATGTGATATATGGTCACGTGCATGAAATCTATAAAAAATTGGCAATTGTTCCCAACAAAATTTTATGTGTTTACTCCAACGCTTGTCTGCTTCTTTTCGTTTTCTTTGCAAAACGTTGTGTGCTTTTTTAAATACAACTTTTATCCATTGACTTGTTTTTTTGGATAGAACTCCATCACATACTAAGCTAAAGCTATTTTTTTCCCCTCGGTTGTTTAGTTCGGTTGTTCCATTCGGTTGTTCCATTCTGTTGTTTAGTTTTGCCATTCTTCTACTAACTTTGCTTAACATCTGCATAACTGTATCATTATCATCAAAAGTGTAGGGAAGGTTGTCAAGGAAACTAATCATGATATAAATCATCATAGATTTATAAATTACAGTTCCTTCAACTGACCCCAGTTCAGTTACTAATAGTATTTGAAGAACACATTTAATTGCAAACCATTCTCCTGAACGACGCCATGGAATTTCTAATTCAGTAGCGCAGAAAACATCATCGCGTATCACTTTATGAACACATACACAGTTTTCAACCCCTTGCATTGTTCCAGACATGGCTCCCAGCAACCATGAAATAACAAAAACGGGTTCAACAACATTACGTGTGTCAAAATGATTGTCTCCATCTTTTCTTTTTATTTGGATTGTTTTTTCAAAGGTTTCATTGCATAGTATGGCAACTTGAACAGAAAATGCTTTAAATAAAAATCGATTGAACGGAATCCGAACGGCTCTCTCAGGGAAAGTTTGAAACAAATCTCCCTCACTCATAACTTTTTCATTATTTGAGGATACTCTAAATACACTCATAAGAGCATTATTAAGATCATCTTCGTATCTTTTAATTGTTATAACTGAATTATGAGCTCGAGCAAATATGGCAAACGTTTCTCCTGGTTGCAAAGCATCGAGAGCCTCTGATATCTGAATAGCATCAACAATAACACTTTGTGTGTTTTTCCATTTCTCCATTGTATTGCGAACATGTTTTAAACCCATCATTGGTGCATCCATTGTAGGCAAATGATCAAAGGTAAATCGCACTAATGTTCCAGAAAGGCTTGAGCATTCGGATGTTTGTGGCAGCTGTCTGGTTAAAAAAACATGGTGAACCACCATGTTTATTTGATCTATTTGATCGATCTTAAACTTTTGTTCATCCATTGCTATTGTTTGCTGCAAAAAAATTTATTCGTTAAATACATACCTACAGAAAAAAAGTTTGTTTATTGGTTAGACAAACCGTTAGAGAAAAGGTTTACCTACCCAGCAAACATTCTATAGCGGAATTTCAGTGGATCTTTATAAGCATTTTGAGCGGACCACTGTAGATTTTCTCATCGGTTACTTAGCGGACCATTATTAGCTTCCAAAAGTGGCTAGCCGATGACTAGTCACTATTAACATGTCAGATATTTATCGGCTTGCTATTTATAGCCGCTTTCACTAGTGGTCCGCTAATTAACTGATGAGCAAAACTCCAACAAACCGCAAAAATATGCCTATATGGATCCACTGCAAATCCAACAAAACAATGTTTGCTGCGTGTTGATTAGATAAAAAAAACAATGTTTGCTGGATATTTATCAGATAAAAAACGGTAGATACATAATAAATAAGATACTAATTAAAAATTTACGAAAATAATTCAAAACAAAGTAAACTTTACAAACTTTAAAAATGTTTTGTTATAAATAAAAACAGATGAAAAAAACACTCAGCTTAACTATATCGCACCACTTAGCTCTCACCTAAAGTTATATCGTATATCAACACTTATCTCCCGTCTGAATTTCATAAATTTCATAACACATATCTCAGTTGTATGTGAAAGTCGAGTAGTCCCGGGTAGTCCCGGGCATTTGATGTACAGCTAAAACTAAAAAAGCCATTTAATTTTGAGTATCATAAAAACAATCTTTTAGTATATTTAAAGCGTGCTAAATTTCACCCCCAAAGTTTCAAAGCAATTGGATAGAAATGCTAGGCATTGTTTTCTATCATCAAAATAACAATGTATCAACATATTTGATTCACTTACTACCGTATTTAATTTTTTTTTGTATAACTACCTTTTTTTTTTATTTATGATAAAAACTGTATTTACAGTATTTATGAAAAAAACACTTTTGTTTTATACTTTTTTCATTGATCTAAAAAAAAATAATAGTAAATGAGATATAAAAGGTACCCGATATATGCTTGGAGGGTAGCTCCGGACAACTTATCCGATTATAAACTAATATTCATGCGACAAGTGCGTTTTTTTATTATCATTTATGTAACCTGGCACAGTTTGATAATTGACAATAAGCAAATAATAATTTGTTTTGTCATTTAAAAATTAATATTATTACGCTTTGGAGAACTTATTTTTAAATAATCAAGCGACAACCAACAAGAATAACTCTAAAGTCAGCTTACTTAATGGAAAACAGTATGACAACAGACACATTAATGAATCCCTTAAAAAGGTTTAAATAACAGAATACCCCGTAATTAGAGAGGGTAGGGTGTTAAGTTACTTAAGTTTGTAGTTTGCACAATGTGTGGAAGTGGTTTATCTGGAACATCAAAAAATCCTGCGGGCGCCCATTTATGTGTGTGCATAGAGAGAAACTTTAGTCAGAATTTTAACTTTTATATTGACTAGCTGGTTAATTGTGTAAAATTAGAAATTCGAAGTACGTACTTTTAAAATGAGCTCCTCCCCTATACGCTTTCGTACGCTTTTTGAAGACCTCCCCCCCCTCCCTCCCTCCTTATAGTGTTTTCTATGTGTAGTTTATCTTTATCAGCTTACTAGTTGTTGATCGGCTTGGTGTACATCCAATTTCGTATTCAAGTCTAAGACGATTTCAACTATGCTCATGTTCAGGTTACGTCTAGCGAGAGTAATTTCTTCATTTTCGTTCATTTCTGACATTATTTTTAAATGTAAAGAGCGACTTTTGTCTTGGACTGTTCCAAACTCTTTATAGTTTTTGAGCGTTGTTTTAACGTTCCGGTGATCTCGAGCTTACATCCAACTTCTCCGATGCGCTGAGGCCACTTTTGTGCATGCCAATAATTTGCCACTTTTTTCAACTAATATGTTCTTAAATCTAACATCATTTTGTTGAGGCAATTTTGAAATTTTTACTAACTGGTTTTCAAAAAAGCAAGTCCAATATCTTGGTAAAGCTCAAAACTCAAATGCAAGCATTGTGGCATACCGTGCACAAGTACTAATCAAAATCTTATATAGATTCCATACCGTTTAGAATCTTGAAATGCCATAAAAACAAAGGTATCATGCTAAATATCATGAAAAAAAAAGGTATCAAATTTTTTTAGAACTTTTGAATAATTGTAAAAGCGCTAATACTTTTACATGCCTTTTAATTCCTATTTTTATCACTTTTATTGTATTCTAATTAAATTAAAGATAATAATATAGAAATATTTTTTAATATTTGATGCGTAGTAGTTCTGTTTTTTATCATTAAAACAATTTAAAAAAGATCAATCAGTCCTTGATTGTTTTCGAATAACACTTAAAAATATGTTTATGGTTGTATTGATGTTGTTTTGAAGTGCATAACCAACTTTAAAAAAAAAAAAAAAAAAAAAAAAAATATCCTATCAAGAAAATACTTGATGAACTGAGTCAGTTCCTTTATATGTTTTATTTAAATTAAACATTTTCTTGTTTTTAATAAACGCAGTCAAGAAATAAACTGAAAAATTTGTAATGTTGGTATTTATCAATAAATATCGCCATTAAATGATGCTGCATTTGTAATAAAAAATTAAGTAAAATTTTATATAGTATTAAGTTGAATATTTATATAGCCAATGCTTTTGATTTTATGTAATTGTTCATCAAATATTGCGCAACAGATTAAAATACTTCACTTAACATTATAGTGTTAAGTGAGGTATTTTAATGTTGATATGAAATTGCCCTCATTGGGGCATTTGTTTTAAAAACAAAAACGTTCTAAATGTCTTTTTAAACATTTTTAAACGTTTTTTATAGTTGTTTACGCTAGAATGTTTGACAAGTGGTTTTAAAGAGGATTAAATATTAGAACAATCAAAAATTTTTAATAACCGATTTAATAGCTTTTGCTGAAAAATTAACAAAATGTTTTCCATTTTGTATGTACAAAAGATTAAGGTATAAAAATAAATATTGTCGACTAAATATTCTATTATTCTATAAATATATTATAGTATTAAATATTCTATTAGAAACGTTTAAAAATTTTTGTTTGACCTCATTCTTTGTAATTGCTTCTAAACGCAATTGAAACGCGAGATTTTTCAATTGAAATTTTTTCTCGATCTATGATTTAGATTTTAGGCATTGAAATTCACATACAATCTAACAATCACAACTCCTACCAATCACAACTCTTACCAATCCAACTCCTATTAGTCCTACCAATTACAACTCCAATTTGACACAGGTCAGAAATTAAGCTTTTAGGTTTGATTTCAAAACACATGAAACATTTTTATGGATTATACTTAAGAAACCAATAGGATATACAAAGCTGTAACCATTAAAATCTTGCAAGCCGCAAATAAATTTGTAACCCCTTAAATTGAGAAGGCTTAAAATTTTTACAGTCATAGTTTTTGAATACAAAGATATTGTTGTATGAAATTTAGAATTTATCAAAGAAAATAAAATGAGTAACCCTAATAATTATAATTTATTATTTATAGTTATTTTAAGGTAATGATTAGTTAGATTCAAGTTAAGTACCAATTTTTATTTACCAATTAGTATTTAAATTTATATAATTATAACTCTTTAAATGTACTTTTGATACTTTAATAATTATTAAAATTACATAGAGAGTTCATAATGCCATGCCTCACTTAGTTCACATGCCTTATTTTAAAGAAAAGAAGAAAATTTAAGTTTAAAAAGTGTTATACGCTAAACAGACTTTTATTGTATGTTGCATTTCAAAAAATGTTAAGTGTATACCAGTTATGGAAAATTTGGAAAAGCTGGTTATAAAGCATTGTCAATATGACTATAGTCATATTGACGTCTTTTAAAAACGTCTAGACGTCTAAAAGACGTTTTTTAGGCGTCTTTAAGACATTGTGTGTTTACTGGGTATAATCTAAAGTTAATGAAATATCCAGCTAAACTATGCCTATGTGTAAAAGAAATGGTTAAACCTGAAAAACCTCTTCCAACATCAATTAAACAGAAATAGAACAAAGCATTTTTATGCAATTTTTATTGCAGTAGGAGTTGCAAATTGGTAACTAGTAAAATCTATTTATTGTTTTTAATATTGTATTTTTTTTTTTTAATTATTTGGATTAAATTCATTATGAATATTTCTTTATATAAAAATAGAAAAATAAAAGTGAAATAAAATAACTTCAGGTAAGATTGATATCTGCAAGTGTTACCTTAAGGATTTGTAAAAAATGTTTTGATTCTATTGTTAAAGGTGTACGTCATAAGCCCTTTCTTTGGGAAAGAATCAAAGAATCTGGCAACTTCTTCTTTTAATAAAGATATTAAATGAAAAAAATAAACAAAAAAATTTTGTTTAACGAGAATGTTTTTTATTAAAATCTCATTTAAAAAACAAACAAGATACTAATATCTCATTTGAAAAATAAATGAGATTTTAATAAGAATATTGTTTAGGTAACTTACTCTGAAGTAAACTCTGTTCTTACATTAGCGTACTGTAAAGATATGCAAGAAACACATTTCAACTTTGCATTATAAATTGAAAAGCAATTAAAATTTAGATTTAGATAAGTGTTTCCACCAGTTTGCTGATGCAGGATTTCCTAAGAAACATAATGAAACTTAAGGTTGTTAATGAAACTTAAGGTTATTATCAACTGCTCCTTATCAAGATACAATAAACAATCAACAGAAGCTACCCATCAAAAAATGAATCCTATTGTAAATAGGTTTAAAGTATTCAACCTTAACGCAAAGCATGGACAAAGAGTTAAACGAATCGCTGAAACGTTGTTCATCGTTGAATATGTAGTGCTTGTGACAATTTTTTGGGTTAGTGAAACTAACCCAAAAAATTGTATTAAAAATTATAAAAGCATATAATATTCAGGCATTTTGTAGACTGACATCCTTTGTTGAGAAAACCATTTAATCATATAATATTATACTATCGTTCAAAGCA